TTCAGTAGGCCTAAACTGTTACAGAACATGAAAAAATACTATAACTTTTAATTAAAATCAGCTTCACAATCCTCGCCTAAGCCCATTATAATAAATGTCATATTTAGCTGTGCTGTAATTTAGTGTGTGTTATAGTAACATAGTAAAAGTTTCTGTCAATGTCAGCTCTTTGTGTTTGAGAACTGTCAGTTAATTTCCCCCCCCACTAAGTTTATTTTGCACAATCATTTTCACAATAAATAAGAAAAAGGTTAGATATAACATTTGGTATTCATATTTTTATGTGAGATATGTCGCATATCGTGCCCATCATCCTGACAAAGAGGAGCGAGTGGAGGTCATATACATGGCAGACCACCGTCAGCCGAACCCACCCACAGCACACAGAAAGTAAAAAGAAGATACACTGACTGAATCGCTATTAAAAATCCATTTCTTTTTTTTCTTTCTTTCTTTTTTTTTTAAAAACACAGTTTGATCATCTTGGTTGCTATCAGGACCAGGAGGACGAGGCCCTTAATGAAGAGGACACAAACGCTTTTCTTTCCTCCTTGCAGGAGCAACAGAATAACATCAAAGAGATGGTAAAGTCTGAGCATTTGTTTGTTTAGTTAAAATCTTTTAGTTAAAAATTATTTACTAATTGGTCAGTTAAATTATTGCGTAATGGTACATCTAACAACTAGCATTTATTCAAAAAGCATGTCTGAAAACACTGCTTTTAGTGCAGACAAGCTTGTAATTTCACACCATTTTTCTGATGTTCTTTTTGTCTATACAGGTAGTGACAAATATGAATGTTGCATACAGACAAGAAAAGAAAAATGCAAAACGCAAGGCTAGAAATATGCCTTCCGTAACTCTCACTGTGACCGACCCATTGTTCAGCACAGAGGAAACGCCCTCAGCAAAAAAGCTCAAGGAAAGCCTCTACCTATCTTTTCCAGTAGAGACAGTGCTAACCACAATCCAGAATGTACCTGAAGCCAAGAAAAATGGCTTGGAATATCCTCTAACAAATGTGCACTGAAAATCTTTTTTGATTTGACTATTCATAAAGCACTATCTGCAAAGTGTATTTGCATAGGCTACAGCTTGAAGACTTGACGTCTGCAGTAAGTGGTCCACAGAGAGCAGGTCAAGCAGATGAACTCATGTTTACTTTCTGTTTCAGCGCATAATGTAGCAGATTAAAATATGGTATTTCACCTCAAGGCGTTCATTGACATAGACGATGGTCTTAGTTTTTTGTTTATTGAACTACACACCCAAAGATTGTTGTTTTGCTTGGTTGACTCATGCCTCAAAATACATTTGTATCTGTATTTGCTTTAGATGAGTCATCTGACATACAGAGATTTCAGTATTATCTGATAGAATGTTGTGTAAACTTAAATGATGAAGATTGTAATATTCAGTGTTCATTATCACAGAAAATAGTTGTTAGTTTTTTGTCCTGTTTTTTTCTTCCTTCAGATCATTATTATATAACACCAACGTGTTTCTTTTGTCTTTGACAGTGAGTCTGAATTTGCAAACAACAATTTAGCTTCATCGTTTACTTAATCACTTATTCATCCATGTGTGTGGAAAGGAAATGTTAAGGTTCTATATGTCAGTAAATAGTTATGAAGTTTCAGGCTTTATCTCATAAATACTTTTTGCTCCATTATGTTTTAAATTATGATAAATGCTATCCAACAATTAACTGTTTTCATTTGTAATAAACAGATTTGTAAATCAGTTAAAATCAGTTATTCTGTGGCCAATATGACATCTCATGCAACTTCCTATTTGCCTTTGAAATAATGAGGGCTGAAACAAAGGTGCAAGAACGTGACCACAGATTGCAGTATATTTCACAATGAGGCTGACCTTACCTTGTTACATGTGTCATGATTTAGACAGCCTGCCAAGTGGCAACATGTCTGAAATAAACCGTTTAGTGTTGAAATGCTGTGTTCTTGTTTAAAATCGTATTTAATAATTCATAAAATGTTTATATTTTTTGTTACATTTTTGCTATATATACAGTGTGTATATATATATATATATATATATATATATATATAACACCAACCTATTGAAGTTGTAAATGTTTTTAACTTTAAACTGCACTGGTACAATAGAAATCCAAAGCCTCAACTGTGCTTATTAATAACATAAGGACAGACAGTGTTACTTTAAAAAAAAATAAATAAATAAACAAAAATAGTTATGAAGTTTCAGGCTTTATCTCATAAATACTTTTTGCTCCATTATGTTTTAAATTATGATAAATGCTATCCAACAATTAACTGTTTTCATTTGTAATAAACAGATTTGTAAATCAGTTAAAATCAGTTATTCTGTGGCCAATATGACATCTCATGCAACTTCCTATTTGCCTTTGAAATAATGAGGGCTGAAACAAAGGTGCAAGAACGTGACCACAGATTGCAGTATATTTCACAATGAGGCTGACCTTACCTTGTTACATGTGTCATGATTTAGACAGCCTGCCAAGTGGCAACATGTCTGAAATAAACCGTTTAGTGTTGAAATGCTGTGTTCTTGTTTATTTAATTATTTAATAATTCATAAAATGTTTATATTTTTTGTTACATTTTTGCTATATATACAGTGTGTATATATATATATATATATATATATATAACACCAGCCTATTGAAGTTGTAAATGTTTTTAACTTTAAACTGCACTGGTACAATAGAAATCCAAAGCCTCAACTGTGCTTATTAATAACATAAGGACAGACAGTGTTACTTTAAAAAAAAAAAAATAAATAAACAAATGTAGGAATCCTATGAATGCACCATTCCTGGATGTAATTTTCAGACTTAAATGCATGTTATTTACTGTACAATTAAATGAAATTGTATTATAGCGCAAACTCATATGCAATTAGTTAAACTTGAATGGTTTTCTGATCCACTCAAGTATGGCTGGAGAGTACATCTTTATATATTATTTCATATTTACAAGTCAACTGCCAACTGTACTGATAATCATTTATAGTAAAGTAAAATATACATGTGCTTAAAAAACTTTGCACGTGCTTTAGTATGTTAGTCAACGAATCAAAATAAGTGTACTTCTTAAAAGCATGACATACAATGCACTTTTTTTAAAAGGCGTATTTAAGTGGCCTTTTATATATTAGGTTTTAGGTTCGTACCTTATAAATCTGTTGCGAAAATACAAACAATTATATCCATTTCAAAATTTGCCTATATTATCGAAATACAAAGTCCTCGCCCTCTCCTTCAAATTATGTAAATACTTGTGTATTTCACAATGTGACCAGAGCCCTTTCTGATTGGGCCGCCGTCACGGAGGCGGGGCTTCAGTACTGTATTCTTTTCCCTTTCCTGTCATTGCACCGCGCCGGTAAGAAGAGGCGATGGATGTTGCCTGGGAATTATGGGACTAAGATAAATTTTGTTGTCGTACCGGGAATATTGATTTACGAAGGAAATAAGGAGCTGATTCTTAGACGGAAAATGCATTCTGTACTGCCCCAATGAATGAGTCTGCGATAGTGCCGGGTGTTAAGCTGCGCAGGCCAGCGAACCAACTTGACAGACGCAGTACATTCACATAGACTTTGTTTCAGGCGAGCACTTTTTATTAATACTCCAGACCTGTCAGTCTGGTTTCACGCTGCTGTCATTCATATGTTTACTCGCCCTATAGAAATCACTTCCATGTAGAATTTTTGCTGCTCACGTTTTTGTATTTCAGTAGCTTCAAGGCTCTTCAGCAGGTGTAGGAAAATGAGGGTTGCTGTGATTATTAGTGGCAACCTGGTTTTCACTCTGGTGGATAGCAGTGCCACAAACTGATCACCTCCATGCCACGCCCAATTGAGGCAGTAATTAAAGCAAAAGGTGCCCCTACCAAGTATTGAGTACATGTACAGTAAATGAACATACTTTCCAGAAGGCCAACAATTCACCACAAATGTTTTTTTTTATTGGTCTTAAGACGTATTCAAATTTGTTGAGATAGTGAATTGGTGGGTTTTTGTTAAATGTGAGCCAAAATCATAACAATTAAAAGAACCAAAGACTTAAACTACTTCAGTCTGTGTGCATTGAATTTATTTAATACACAAATTTCACAATTTGAGTTGAATTACTGAAATAAATTAACTTTTCCACGACATTCTAATTTATTGAGATGCACCTGTATACCTCTAATCTTTACTCTAGTCATTACATGCTTGTGAATGCCTTGGTTTGTCACACTTGGATGGTATGCACTTGTCCTCATCTCTAGAGTTTATCAGCTCATAGTGTTAATATTGGATTTTCCTCCCCATAGGTGAAGCTTTCATACCTTATTACACGGGGCGAGCAATAGATGGCATAGTTATCCAGAAAAGCATGGATCATTTTGCCAAACCACTGATTACTCTCACTGTTTTGGCTTTGGTCAGGTGAGCAGTTCTGGATTTCACTTTTCTTCAATTTTTATAGACAGTAGAGATCGATTTCTTTTTTTCCGTATCATATAATACAATTCATCATTCTTTTTTTTATTTTTAGCTCCATAGCCACTGGGTTTCGTGGAGGTGTCTTTTCTGTTACGTTTGCCAGGTTGTATATATATATATATATATATATACAATTTTATTTATTTTTTAAGCAATTTAAGATTTGAACATTTCTCTTTGACTTACATTTATAGAATGGTCAGCATTCAAAATGTACCCAACAGCAAATACATCACCATAATATTTGCATACTGAATTGTGGTTGGCCTTGTCTTCTTTGCTGTTATTTATTGTGTTGATTCCTGTGTGCAGCCAATAGAAAAAAAAGATGTCATGATGCAGCATTTTATTTCGAGAGAAACCAAAGCCTAAAATCTTATACTTTAATACTATTATTTGGCGGCCTTCGGGAAATGCAAATCAAGTGTTGTTTTTAACATTACTGTGTCAAAGACCTCTCTGGACTGGTGGAAGTAGAGACAACATAAATGATTCAGCTCTCAATGGTTTACCTTACAGGTGACATTATCTCTAGACTTACCTCAGATACTACTCAGGTGAGCGACCTCATCTCACAAAATGTCAACCTGTTCCTGCGCAGCTTTGTGAAAGCTGTGGGCATCTTCATATTCATGTTTGGGATGTCATGGAAACTGTCGGTAGTCACCATCATGGGTTTCCCATATATAGCTGTGGTCTCCAAGCTGTATGGAGAGTATTACAAGGCAAGTTATGCATATGAAAATACATTGCTTGAAAAAAAAAAAAAAACAATGGCAAATGATGCATTGTAGTTTATAGCAGCATATACTCTATATTGTTTTATATTTCACAAATGCACATTATAATAGCATTTTGAATGCATTGATACAAAATATGTACGCATAAAAAAAGGTAACATTCCACATTTTTGATGTTTAACAGAAATTAACCAAAGAAGTTCAGACAGCACTGGCTCAGGCCAATAAAGTGGCCGAGGAAACAATATCAGCCATGAGAACAGTGCGAAGTTTTGCAAATGAAGATCAGGAGGCAGACTCGTACTACAGCAGACTGCAGGAGATGTTCGTTCTTAATAAGAAACAAGCAGTTGCCTATGCCTGCTTCATGTGGTCCAGCTATGTAGGTATCTTGCAAGCATATTGAAGCCTTCGATATTTGTTCTAACAAGATTCTCATTTATAAAATCAAATTTTTCTTTCCAATATCATAATTAAATTTCTCTTTTGGGTCATTTGAAGTATCTTGTAGATCCAAAAAATAAAAACCAGCAGTGTCAGTCTGAACAACGATACTAATTTTTGTTCTCTCTTCTTTTCATTTTTATCTTTAGATCTCTGAGCTAGCCTTGCAAGTAGCAATCCTGTATTATGGAGGCCACCTTGTGGTGACAAATCAGATGAGTGGAGGGACCCTAATTTCCTTTGTCATTTATGAGCTGGAGCTCGGTGAGGCCCTGGAGGTATGGTGTTTTTCTTTTAATATGTGTGTGCGTGATACTCATACGATGAATCTGAAACACAAAGTCTTACTTTCTGTTCTTTTTACAGAGTATATCGTCAGTGTACACAGGTCTGATGCAAGGCGTTGGCGCTGCAGAGAAAGTGTTCGAATATATAGACAGGAAACCTAAACATATCCTTGATGGTCAACAAGCTCCAGAAACATTTGAAGGGCAGGTGGAATTCAAAAATGTGACGTTTGCATATCCAACACGGCCAGAGATGGATATATTAAAGGTATTCTTCACTGAAAGTAGACTTTAGATAGAAGGTTACAAACTAACAGCAAAGGGTAACACCATAACCTAACCAGACATAATGCAGATTTTTTTTGTTGGTTTCTGACCATATAACATATGTTCTTCTGATTCATTGGCTATGATTGTGTCACATTGCACCACATTGTCGTTGACTTTAGTAGGGAGTATTGATGGTTGTCCTTGCAATTAGTGTATTGCAAGTACCTATGAATGCTACGTTTATTTGTTTTCTTTTAAACTGATATGCTCGTGAATCAGTAACAGAATTCCTAGACACAGGAAGAAAACTAAACCCACATTTTCTTCTCAGAATGTTTCCTTCAATCTTCGCCCAGGGCAAGTGACTGCACTGGTAGGGCCCTCTGGTGGTGGAAAAAGCTCATGTGTGTGTTTGCTGGAGAATTTCTATGCTCCTCAGCAAGGCCATGTGCTTGTGGACGGCCAACCTGTGAACAGCTACCAGCACAAATACTATCACTCTAAGGTGGGATATATGCTGAGGCTGATCTGGATACATTAATTAAGAATAAATGTAGTTTTCAGTGAAGCTTGTAGTACATTCTACGGTCTAAAGAGGGCAGTAGTTGCTGATAATGCAAATGAAGTGGCTTAACCAAATGCAAATTAATGAGTTTTTTATTTTTTATTTTTTACAGGTAGCACTGGTGAGTCAGGAGCCTGTTCTATTTGCCCGCACTGTTCAGATGAATATATCCTATGGTGTACCTGAAGCCCCCATGGAGGCAGTCATTAGAGCTGCCATTAATGGCAATGCACATGACTTCATAACAGGCCTCTCCAAAGGCTATGAAACTGGTTAGTTTATATTATATTATATTTTTGTTTATTGTTGTAAATTATACTATATTTTAATTTTTATATGTATTTATTAATCTCATATTACTAATAATATTATATTATTAATATTATGAATATGTATGCTAAAATGCACTTACATTTTGTCATGTTCAGAAACTTACATTTTTGATGTGAATGCTTTGTGCATTGTGATAATGACAATAGATATTCAAATACATAATTGCTTGATTTGAAGTTTTTGACTTATTTGACATCTGCTTTGTACCCGAGTTTATTATATTATAAGTTTATTATATTGTATTATATTATATTTTATTTTTATGCTTATTGTTAAAAATTTTACTATATATATATTTTTAGATTTTTATATTTATTTATTAATATCTTATTACTAATAATATTATATTATTATTAATATTATAAATATGAATATTAAAATGCACTTAAATATATGCTCAGAAACGTAAATTTTTTGATGTGAATGCTTTGTGCATAGATATAGAATATAGATATTTAAATACATAATTGCTTGATATATTATATTATATTATAGGAAAATGAGAAACAAGAGACCAAAAAATGCAGATGAGCTGAAGGCCACTGTCAAAGAAACCTGGGCTTCCATACCACCTCAGCAGTGCCACAAACTGATCACCTCCATGCCACGCCCAATTGAGGCAGTAATTAAAGCAAAAGGAGCCCCTACCAAGTATTGAGTACATGTACAGTAAATGAACATACTTTCCAGAAGGCCAACAATTCACTAAAAATGTTTTTTTATTGGTCTTATGAAGCATTCTAATTTATTGAGATAGTGAATTGGTGGGTTTTTGTTAAATGTTAGCCAAAATAATCACAATTAAAAGAACCAAAGACTTAAACTACTTCAGTCTGTGTGCATTGAATTTATTTAATACACGAGTTTCACAATTTGAGTTGAATTTCTGAAATAAATGAACTTTTCCATGACATTCTAATTTATTGAGATGCACCTGTATATTTGACACCTCTGTTTTGTACCAGAGTTCGGGTGATAATTCATCCTGCTGCTCTGTCCTCTGTTATAGGGGTTGGAGAGAAGGGTGCTCAGCTGTCTGGTGGGCAAAAACAGAGAGTTGCCATTGCTCGGGCTCTTATCAGAAACCCTCGCATTCTCATTTTGGATGAAGCCACAAGTGCACTGGATTCAGAAAGCGAATACATAGTAAGCGATGACTATTACTTTGAAAAGATGTGGCTTGAGTGAACATTCCTTTTCAGTCTTGCATTAAACTTCATTTGTGTCGTTACTTTGTTTTTAGGTTCAGCAAGCTCTGAACAACTTGATGCGAGAACACACGGTTTTAGTGATTGCCCACAGACTGAGCACAGTGGAGAGAGCTGATAACATCCTAGTGATCGACAAAGGCTGTGTGGCAGAGCAGGGCCCGCATGCTGAACTCATGGCCAGGGGAGGCCTCTACTGTAAGCTGGTGCAGAGGCAGATCCTGGGGACTGTCATAGATGCAGATGTTCACAACCCATCGCCAGCCCCACCATGGAAGCTGAAGGAAGGAGATAAGGAGAGTGCAGAGGACTGTAGCGACACTGAGAATGAAGCACGCTACTAAGACAAAGTTGAAATGTGCTTCACTTGATTGTATGAAGGCCTTAATCCTAGATAGATATTTATTTTATTTTATTTATTCTAATCTGGGGATATATCACATATTTTGCATGTCAAACAGTGTGTTACTAGACAGGAGTTCTGCACTGAATAAAGCTTTAAGCAATAAATATTTGACATACTTGATGTACTGTACTATTGTTTCCAATATAAACATCTTAAATAGTACAAACATATCATTAAACTTAATTATGTAAATAAAATGAATTAATGGTCAAATAATTGTTTCATTCTTTAAATGTCCCATATACTACTAATACAGTTACAAGTGTGTAGTTTATAGTATTAATTCATATTTCGATTTTTGTTATGTGCTTTTGTCATTGTTTATTATTTAGTTTTTCTATTCTATTTTTATTTAATTTTTATTTAATTTAATTTTTGTTAGTACTTCAGCATATTTTATTTTTAGTTTTCTAATTTTAATTTTTATTTCAGCTGCATTATTTTATTTCAGATTTATTTAAATTAAAACAACTTTTAACAGTTTTAGTTTAGTAAACAATAACAACTTTTTTTTTTTTGCAATTAAAAGATTTTATAAAAAAATAAGTATGTTATCACTTTTATGCAGTGCGATGCAGAAGTGTATGATTGACATATTTTGAAAGACATGTAAGAAATGTAATTATCATTTTGGAGAAAGTTCGTGAGCATCAAATGAAAAAGCCCTCACCGGTTGACGTCACGCATCTCCTCCTGTCGTCTTCCGGCTGAAAAGAAGAGCTTTGCCCAGTCCGACCGCGATCCACAGACAGCAAAGTGTGAAAGACACCGCTGTGCCAGACATGGCTGGCTTTGAGAATAAGTTGAGCTCTTATACCTTAACTCAGTTAAACGAACTGCTCGAGGACGACGAAACGCTCAACAAATTTATCGACGACTCGGAAGAGGTAAGTTTCCTTTTCTCGTGAAGAGCGTCGCGAAGTTACCGTGGCGAGTTGATGAGTAAGTTATTTGAAACCGCACCATTTTATACAGAGGTAGGCCGTGTTTATTTTTATTCTTTAAAATGGTTTGTTTTAGAATTACGAGGTTATCGCATTTTATTGGGAACCGTTTAAATTTAAACGTTTCTGCGCGCGACTTCAGTTTTGTTTGTTTTTGACGTCGCGGAATATGACTAACGTTAAGTGTAATGCTGTCATTCGTTAAACAACATATTTTCAGTTAAGACTAAAAAAGTGACCTTATCACGGAAGCAGAAACTGGTCAACCGACCGTATAAAATAATGCCCATGACTTAGGAATATGCATTTCCCCTATAGAATCTGTTTTGTTTGTATTTCACCCATCAGTGATGCAAGTCATTTTCTCGTGATCCTCTTTTGTAGAAATTACTCGCGTTGGACTTGTGTATTTTCTATTTTTATTAGTAATGTATTTTTTTGTAGAGCTTCACTTTTTGTTACTTTTATGAAAACATCTTCTGTCATGTGTTGGATGAACCCTTGGGAATCGGAGCATGAGCATTTTTATACTAATTTTTATGCCAAGCACTAGTAATGCTTACAGGAAACATGTGTTGATTGTTTGCATTATACATTTTTAATTTAAAATAAACTTATTGCATTTATTTTTTTTTTTTACAATAACACAATAGTATTTCAGTATCTTAGTGTATCATTTTTTAAAATTAAAACAGGACTTTGACAGGTGATTTTAAGTCATTTGATTTTTAATCAGTTTCATATGAATTATAATTGCTGATGCATAACCGTAAATGTATTCACATCTCATGATGAGACAGCAAACTGAGCTTTGCCAATGCACACAATATGAGTACCGCTCAGTTGTGTTTGCATATCGTCAAATAGATAGTATTCTGGGCATGTTCACAGTTCTGAGTTGATTTGACCTCCAAATTCATGGAAGGATGTCAACCTTGTATCAGTATGTGTCATGAGAGCATGTTTAATCTGGCAGCACTCTAAAAGTTGATTTTTATTTACCAGGGCAAAGAAGTTATTCATAAGGATTTTTTTTAACTGCTTATCTGTTGCCATTTAAATAATCATCTTTCTCAAACATGTGCATTCTTAAAACTTGGCTTTCACTGAAATTGGTGACTGAAAGAAATGGGTTTTTGCAGGCATGATGCTCCAGAAGCCATATATAGTGACATTTCATATGTAGACTGTAATTATCTGCCACATAAAAACAATAGTTGCGGACTCGTACACTGGTCTACATGTGTTTTAGAAGGCGATGTGCATGTTGTATGATGAACAGACCTATCCTTAGTCAGATTTGGAGAGAACTAGCCTTATATAATCAGTGATGAGCAATGATTTGTATTTCTCAAGCAAGGGTTGGTGCATTACCAGGAGAATTGGTTTCATTATTGTCTGTCAACGTCTAGTTGATTTATGACTCGTGCTTTCAGCTCTCTTTGTGTTAGTCACTGACTTGTATATTTTTAGTGCTCGTTTGGGTATTTATTTAATTTTTGACCCAATGTAATATATAGGGCATCCCGGCACAGACTATGTAAAGAGCAAATGCTTTCTGACCTGCCAGCTGATCTAGACAGGTGTTTGAGAAACATCTCACCTCTCCCTGTTATGCACTGATACATGATCTCTAAACTGAAACTGCAGAAGTGCACCTGTTTAAAAACAAAAGGGAGGAGTCCGGACAGTTAAATACTGTTAAATGTTCCTCATCATGGCAGTCATAGGGTTGTGAGTCACTAGAGGTGGCATGTTGCAATGTATTGTTTTTTTATAGTTTCTTGGAAATGGGAGGTGCTTTCTGAAGACGATTTTTGTGATGTGTTTCTCTGTGTTGTGTACAGCTGGATAGGCCTTATTACGATAACAACTTTTTGTTGTGCGATATATTGCCCCAGAAATAATTGCAATAAGCGACATTATTGTAATTTTAAATACCATTTTATGCCACTGAATATATAATCATAATGTAACAGTATATTAATGCAAGAAGGCCAACATACTTCCAAATGACAACAAACATTTAATTTTTAACAATATTTAGATCATGGAAATTAAATATTAAAATATTAGATACCTTAAAAAACTTGAATAAATGGTAAATAAACATTTTCTAACAAAAAGTGCAAAGTAACAAGTACAAAAAAAGAAAAATGCACAAAGAACTTGTATGGAGATTTTTCCCTGACCTTCTTTTCTCTGTAAATTAAGGGTGCACACTATTGCTGAAAAACACAATCACTACTTAGCAGTCAGATGTCCGTATGCACAAAGGCACAGATCCCTCCCTAAACAAGACCATATATGCAGATAAAACTTTTTTTTTTGTAGAAGCATTTTTTACATTTGAACTAGCACCTCATGACTACACCACGTTATGTATGAGAAGCTGCAAAAAATCAGGCGCAAGTGGAATGTAAAATACACGGTGACATTAATTTTTAAGTAAATATAATGGGCGATATATTGCGTCACCAAAAATTATTGAGGTCAATATATACAGTATATTGCACGATAAGTCGATATATTGATTATTGCGACAGGCCTACAGCTGGAACCCTTTACCATTGTTTATTAATAATTCCTTTTTTGGGGCTGTAATGTTGTGCCTCTGTTGCAGCAGTTAAGTACATTGTGATCATCCAGTACAATGAGAGGCTTAAGGTGGGGTGACCTATATATCAAAGGCTAGCTTATTCAAATAAATCTGATTTAAACAAATTTTAAGCCTCTTAACTGATTCTCAATGATGAATCTCTTCTTAATGTGTAACGGAGGCCAGCGGGTAGGTGCTGTGCAGGTAGAACCTCACTTCCCTGATCTCAAGAGGGCTGCAGTCTTTAGCCTCCTTGTTAGCGCCTTGTTGAGTCAAATATCTAATTCCTGCAATTTGTCTAGAACTGTGGTTCTCAAATTTTTTGACTTGAAGAATCCCCACCAAATAGGCGACTAGGGATGTAACGGTATGAAAATTTCATATCACGATTATAGTGACCAAAGTTATCACGATTATCAATATTATCACGGTTTTGTTAAAATTAGATGAAAACGTTCAAAAAGAACTGCTACACACACTGAAAACATTTCAATAAGTTTTATATTTGAAAATCAACAAACAACAAATACAATTAGCAGCTATATGCACTTTTTTTTTTTTAGCAAAAACATTAAATTAACATTAACATGGAGCCCTAATAATAATAATAATAATAAATCACTAGAATAGAATAGGCTAATTTAATTAAATTTTTCAATTTTAATGTAAGACAACATATTTTTCGTCAGTGATAGAAATATGATTTAAGACGGTAGTGTAAGCAAGTTTAGTTTGAAAACGTTTAATAGTAAATAAGACACAATTAGACAATATTTGAATAAAATAATAATAATAATAATAAATATTTATTTGCAACAACTGATGGAGTACTGAATGCTGCACGCACGAGCAGCGTTGTCAAGGTAACATTTGGTCAGTCATTCCCTTCGCGGAGGGAGTTCCAAACGCTTATACGAGACCGTAATACCCTGCACCCTTCAAAGAACACACTTCAAGGGCTCTGTCCTTCGAAGGGAGTAGGGCATAGGGTTGCTCACTTCTGTTTGGAATTCGCCGCATGTCTCTTGTATCACCGCGGGGGCGCGGACGTGCTCTCTCTCGTTTCATTCAAATGCAGATTGCGTCTACAACACTGCATGCTGCTTCTGCGTCAGACTGATGCTGGCTGGACCGGGTTTACCGCGAATTTTCAAAATTGCGATAATCAAACACGGTTTTGATGATAATTAAATTTTAAACGGTAATACTAACTTTCAGGGCATTTTATCGTGATTTATCATAAAACCGGTAATCGTTACATCCCTATAGGCGACTATGACTGAGCCTACCTAAAAGCCTACCTCTAACTTAACACCTTTGGGATGAATTGAACTGTGAACCAGATCATCCCATCGCCCACCATCGGTGCCTGACTTCACTTCTCTCTTGTGTCTGAGTGGGAGAAAATCCTTCCAACTTTGTTTTAACAACTACCAGCGAGTGGGAGTTTTTACAGCAGCAAAGGGAGGACCGACTCCCTATTAATGTTTGTAGTTTTAAATTTAAATGATTACATATGAGTGTGGTGTTTACGTTTCTGCCTCTTTTTGGTTTTGTGGTGTTTTTGGAATGCATGCTTTTAACGTTTGTAATTATATGAGGTACAAGACCAGAAATTGCTGATGATCATTTACAAAACCTTGTTGCTTTGACATTTGAAAAGCTTAGATATGGGCCCCACAAACATGTATGCTGCTCTTTAGTAATTATGAAAGTAATGTGTAGGGGTGCTCCGATCAGGATTTTTGAGGCCGATCGCCGATCACAGAAAGCAGTATCTGCCGATAGCGATCACCGATACCGATATTTTTAAAGCCGCCTTTTTATAATTTATAACTATTTATAGTGATACTCCAATCAGGATTTTTAGACATTTATTCAGGGCCTGAATTTCATTTTTGAAAATGGGGGGAATTCCCCTCTTAGGTGACTCTTGTGAGAGGGGAAGCAGCTTTCACACAGGAGTCCACTACTGATCCATGGCTGTTTACCACAAACACAACATTTATCCATTATTTTGATTTCAAATCCAAACATTGTCACTGAAAATGCTTTTTCAGCATTGCAATTCTTTTTTTTTTTTTAAAGAGTACAGTAATACAATCTTTCACAGACATGTTTAAACACAATAAATTTAAGCAACATATTATTCCATGCTTTTTACTTTTGCATTTACTTCTAGACTTGTATATTAAGTTGCTCAAGCAAGTGGCAAAACATTTAAACTTTCTATATTTTTCTTACGTTATCACAAACTTACCATTGACAGAAATAGTCAGCTCTACTGCCTTTCCTTTTGCATTGAAATCTTTATTACAACCAATGCTGCAGTTCATAACTTTTTCCTACCTCCACGAGTGCCATCGATTATTGCCTTGTTTATCTAAAAGTGCTCTTTCCCTTTAAACCTAGCCAACAAGCCATGTTGATTGTGAAACACAGTAGACTTTAATAATATGCATTTATGGTGTAATTACTACATTTTCGTGTCAATCCATGTGGTGTAATTACTAATTACTACATTTTCGTGTCAGTCCATGTTAATATTTACTGCAAAAACTGTGCTGTTACTTTAATTCAGCGCTTGCAGCGCAGCGAAAATAGATTTGGTGTGGAAACGATCTCTGCACTTCTGCAGACGCACCGCTCTTGGAACGCACTGCCGAACCGCAACCGCGTGCAGTGTCCACGCTTTATTAATCTGTTAACATGAGTGAGGAAAAAATACGCACCACATTCGCAATGCAAACAAAGTAATGTGAACCTGGCATTATGTGTGTGCGCTGCGAGTGTGCATGAGCGCACAGTCTCCTGCGAGCACTGAATGGTTCAACACTGTCAAGAATTAAAAAGTAATGCAATTTATAAACTTTAGAGTGCTTTCACACTAGCACTTTTGGTGCGCACCCGGGTTCGATTGACGTCAGAGTTCGGTACGTTTGGATGATGTGAACGCTGTCTTCCGAACTCGGGTGCGCACCCGCGAACCGTACCCGAGTCCGCTTAAAAAGGGTGGTCTGGGGTACTGTGACGCAATTGTACCAAATCACGGAAGTGAACCACTATTAATGACTTATTATTTGATAAAAATGTGTGTTTTTTCAGTCACTTTCTTGACGAGCGTGACTGACGAGCTGCAAGCAGAGAGCTGTATCTCATTTCTGTTCACCTTCAGAGTACTTTAGAGCATTTGCAGTACATTCGTAACACAGACGTAAGTGCCGTTATGTACCGAA